ATGGAACTTGACTTTGCGTGTCAAACAACATAGTGCAAACAGGCTGTTCGCTAACGCTCCAAAACATATCAGAACACATTTCCACTTAAGTAGTTCCATGGTAGAATAAATACGTAGGTCTGTGTACTAATACCAGAAGATCAAGGCACACAGAACCTTCTTACAAAAACCCACTGTAGAGAACAGACAAGCCGACGTCGAGTCCAGAAACAAATATAACGAAGAGGTTCGCAATGCCAAAAACCAGCACGATATAAAAGTTAGGCACAGGATAATGTCGCTGCGCCAAGGAAGTCGGTCTTTCTGGACGGTGGCCAAGCAGATTGAATAGAACTTCTCACACAGTAGCCTTCCACCACTTACATGTCAGGATGGAACTATTGTATTCGACTCAAAGGCCAAGGCGGAAGTGCTAGTCAGGATCTTTGATGCCAACTCCACCATGGACGTGTCCCCCCAACGCACAAGTGCCGTCAATTCAAAGGGTTTCCTACACTATGCCGGAGGTAACATTTAGGCATAAGACCGTAAGACGAGTGCTCTTATCGCTCGGCATCAACAAAGCTTCTGGTCCCGACTTGATTCCTGCCATTGTACTGATGACGTGTGCATCGGAGCTTGTTCCAGTTCTTTCGCGTCTCTTCCAGATATCTTATGAATCCGGCACCTTCCCAGAAAACTGGAAATTTGCTCATGTCCAACCCATCCCAAAAAAGGATCTGAGACCGACCCTTACAACTACAGGCCTATAGCTCCGCTTTCTGGACTACCTCGAAAGTCACAGCTTGATTAGCGACAGGCAGTATGGTTTCCGGCACCAACGATCCACAGGGGACCTAATAGCCTACGTCACGCAATTGTGGAGTAAACTGATCAGTCTTATGGTGAGGCTCATGTCATTGCTCTTGACATCACGAAAGCGTTCGATCAGCTGTGGCACGCTGTCCTCTTAAGCAAACTTCCATCCTATGGCATTCCAGAAAAGCTTTGCAGATGGGTGGTTGACTTTATCTCTGGCCGCAAGATATCCGTTGTAATTGACGGGTTCTCCTCTTCATCCCACAATGTCAATGCGGGTGTTCCCCAGGGATTTGTCTTGGCTCCGACACTGTTTCTCTTACATATCAACGACCTCCTTTCCTGCAGGATCAACCCAATCCACAGCTTCGCTGATGACACCACTCTACATGCAGGAATTCAGAGTGACAAGCCGATCTCTGCCGCTGAGCTGGAAAGAAGAAGACTAGCGACGACTTCCTCTCTGACAAGAGACCTTGAGGCTATCTCTGCTTGGGGACGCAACAATCTTGTACAGTTCAATGCTTCCAAAACACAGTACTGTACTTTGACGAACAAAAAGCGTCCTAGCGCTCATCCGGTTTCGATGGATGGCCGAGTTCTGCCAAAGAGCCATTCCTTTCGGCTGGTCGGAGTCCAGATCACCGAGGACCTGATCTGGCACGAACACATCTCGTCAATAGCAGCAGCTGCTGGGAAAAAGCTAGGCTATTTGTTTAGGACTAAGAAGTACTTATCTCCGCATGTCCTTCTCACTCTATACAAGGCCCGGATAAGGCCTAGCATCGAGTATTGCTCACACGTTTGGGGTGCTGCCGCCCCGCCTACATTGTCCATGCTCGATGCTGTCCAGAGGAGGGCGGTCCGACTGATCGATGACTCTTCTCTAACAGACAGTCTCGGGACCCTTTCGCACCGGCGGGCCGTCGGCGATCTAGCTCTTTTCTACCGCTACACCAACGGGCTTTGCTCCTCAGAGCTCTCTTCCATGATGCCGCCGCGCGATGTGCCTGCCAGACAGACCCGCCTGACTTTGGCGTCCCATCCTAACCATATCGAACTTCGTACATCCATAACTGGCCGATACGACCGCTCCTTTGTCCCGAGGGTGTCGATATTGTGGAACAGTCTACAGGAGGAAGCTTTTCCCAGTTCTACTAACCTTAGGCATTTCATCAATCGTATTAACAAAATTTCTTTGGGATCATCATAGCAGCCGCGGTTTTCCGGCATTTAGGCTTATGTCTGCGCCGCTGCTTCGATATAAAAAAAAGTAGGTGTACTATCAAAAATATTGCTATATAGGGTGAATGTGCCAGTAACACGGACACCGCCGGTAGTCGGACAAATGGTTATTGGTAAAAACTTGAATATACATGCTAGTAATTTGTACCAGATTTATCAACTAATTTCTGACAGTTTACAAAAAGTTTCTGACTAGTGGAATTGAGTGGTCGTTAGCAATTTATCTTTTTCTGTCTAACCATAGAAATTATCGAACTTTTCTCTTGGCATTAAGCAAACCAAAATACGACTGAAGCCCTTGCCAGCGGGCGGGTAGCGAAAGATAACAAATAATGTAGATCATGGGTGTACAACATACAGCCCGCGGGCCGCATGCGGCCCGCGAACTCCTGTCTTGCGGCCCGCTTCACGGGTCATATATACCATACGGTATAGTATATATACCTATTAAAACTCAGTAATAATGTTGTATAGAAAGATTTTATAATGCGGCCCTCCAAACTGCATTGGCCATTGATATTGAGTTCAACTACTGAAATGAACGAATTTTCATAGCATCCCAATAGCCGGGCACTTCCATTTTCCCGCCATTTTTTCACGAGACTGTAAAAAAAATTTCACGTTTCCTCTTCATTCGGAAATGGATACCAAGGAAAAAATAAATTCTGTCTCTACAGTGGAGGCAGGCTAAAGGAGACAGTCGAAGCTGTGAGAAATGTTGGGAAATTGCTTGAAATATGTAAATTTTTTTTTTGATAAAAATATATAAACTAAATATCAGTATGAGTGTGCTTAATTCCTTTTCCTCGGAGTCTTAATGACAACTTATTTGAAATTCCTATTCTACCATCACACATTTTTTAATACAGTTCTGTCTAAAACTTTCCAATCAAATACCGTCAAACAACTGGAAACTAGAAACTGGAAAATAGCAACTTTTTGGTTAATATTCTTTTTATAAAATTACAGGAATATCTATAAGCAACATATTTGTTGTCGGCGAAATGTTAACGCAATAGTTTTGTCATCTTGAACACGAAACTCCTAATTCCACGTTGTATTCATTTTTGTCTAAACCACTGGTATATTCATCCCACCCTCCCCCGCCTACAATCCATCACACTCCAATTTTATACTCCTGATTTTATTTACAAGATTGATCATGTCCTATAAAACGCAAATTTTAAGATAAATTTAAAATTGCCGAATACTAATTAGCAATGCCAAAGCACCCCTCAAATTGACGCACTTCTTTTTTCTTTGCTCTCCTTCCTTCCTTTCTTCTTCCCTTCTTTCTCCCTGACTTTGTTTGGTATCTGGGCAACCCGACCTGACAGACCTACTGACTTACAAGACTTCAACCAAGAGCAAACGTCCTACGGACCGCTCTGACAGACCATGACGAATAGAAGCACTTTATTGGGCGTACGCAACAATACCTTTTTACTCGCAAAATAGAAGTACCAATATTTCTTAACCTGATAAAAGTAGTATCGAATTTTCTTCTTCGCCATTCTCCCATCTGTCACTGCACTGCAGTGATAAATAAGAAAATCCTGAAAAGGAAGTACCGAGGAGGAAGTATTTATTGTATCCATCTCGTAAGAGTTTTCGTTTTTGCAAACATGATAAGATTAAAATATCACCATAAATGATTCAGTAAGATTTTATTAGATATACAATTTGGAAGGAAGGAAAAACGAGCGGTTCAAAAATCTAATTACCAAAGCTTATATGTTACATGCGAAAAAAATATATTAATGATGTCACCACATAGCTGCGATGTGGTCCTATTATGTAAAAATAATTTCATAATAATAATACATAAGAAGAAATACTCTTAATCTGGTCCATTGGTCATACATATACTTTTTGTCAGTTTGTGTCCCACTAATCGTTTATATCATCCACAACTTTTACAGTGCACATAACGAATCAATCATGTGTAAATATTCGGGACCTCGGTTGGCCGCGTGGGTCAGAGTGTCGTGCTACTGATCAGCCGGACGGCCGGGCCGCGAGTTCGAATCTCGCCTTCGCCATGGATGTTGTGACGTCGTGTGTTTGTCCATAATTAGAGATATACATATACAAGATTGGATCTGGCTAATGGGACGCAATATCCTAGTTCCAAAAAAAATGTGTAAATAGAGAGGCAAGAGAAACTGGGATCATTTTAGTAAACCTGCAACTAAAGATTGAAATCTATAAGATCGGTATATTACTAAGATTGCTTCTCTAAAAACTTGACAAGTTTGAAGATTAGAACAACTTTGAGCATTTTTAAAATGTTTGACCAATATTATTAATCCAAATTCCTAATACAAAGGCCACCTGCCAACTGAACAAGATGTTTTTGAAAAACCAACATGCCCAAATTGCTGGAAGTAGCAACTAACTACTGTATGAATGTATATTTTCTGCACAAAAAGCTTCTCAATATCCCTGAATATTTGCAGAGTCATATTAACCAACTTTTTGCGTTTATGAAAACCAGATCTATAGATACCAGACGAATATTTGTCGCTTAACACATCACTTAAATATGTTTAAATGACATTATTACTAACGTCTTACTAAATTATGACATTCATAAAATCACATTTCCTGTACAAAGTGACAAAATAATGATTACGTTACTTGCATGACATGTCAATGCAATAATATTTTCAACCACGATTCTTTGGTAGCGGAGTCAACACCTTTTTAATATTCAATTGAAGGGCTTATTGTAATAACATCATAAGCCACACAACGACAAAAGTCTGTTTTATTCCTCAGTTTAGTTAAGCATGTATATGATAAGCCACAGGAGAAACGTTGTAACTATTGTCCAAGTTAATACTATTACGCGGTTCTCTACAAGCTTCACGTTAAAACGTGATAAGCCACGTCAAAATGGCGATCGGTTCGTATGGGCCTATCTATAATAATCCTATTTTAAGCGATATTTGCAGTTCAAGCAATAAATCTTATGAATCAAGTGATGATAGTGTGGTTGATAGGAATTTTGTATCATCAAATGATGGCGAAAGTTCAGATACAAGTGAGGTATGTATAATTTTTGTTTTTGTGGCTTACCATGTTTTAATAAAACAAAACTGTCGCGAATTTGAACGTGGCTTATCAGGTTGTTGCTATTAAGAATATGCATTTTCAGGGAGGCGATTCACCTGTACCTACTAAATATCAAGAATAACTGAAACTACACCCGAAAAAACTCGGCAAACTCGTTGGAGACAAAGAAGGGACGAGAACTATGAACGGGTGAAAAGGAAAAGACGACGTAATTTAAGGCAAGAATATTCAACAGTAAAGAGCAGGAAACTCATTAAACCTCGAGAATTGGGTTCACCATGTCAATGCCAGAAGAACTGCCGAGCCAGGCTCAGTAATAGGAAAATATGTTCATAAAATTCTGGGATCTACTTCCTATGATCTTCAGAACAGTTACCTTTTTGGTGCTATTCGAGTTCAAAAAAGAAAAGATCTTACAAGAAAAAACAAAAACTTCAAGAATCTAGTCGACAGTTTACAGCTCAGTATATGTTGATCGTAGGGATGTCAGGGTATGTAAGGTCGAATTTATGAGTGTCCACGGTCTACAAGATTGTCTAGGCAGAATCGACCATATTGTCAAAATAAAGACAACTGGAGCTGTTGTCCCTATAAAAGACGGACGTGGTAAACATAAAAACAGACCAAATGTACTAACCGCTGATCAAAAACAATCTGTCAGGAAACATATAAATATCAGAGCCACTATAGCAAAGCAAATAACATCAACAAAATGTATCTTAACTTGCGATATGACCATAGAAAGCTTGTATAAGGTTTATTATGTTTCCGTGGTGTATATACCTTTTTAAAACAGAAAAAACAAAAACTTTTTCGTTAAGCACTCCGTAAGTGGTGCATATAACGAAGTGAATATTACAAAAAAGGGTAGGCCTGTGAATACACCCTTATGTCAGCTGAAAAATAAGTACATGGAACCAATAAAAATTTCAGAGAAGAAACTTAAAAATGTACAATCTCTTTTTCCATATACCTATACCCCCAATACATCTACCGTTCTTCAATGGACTAAACTCCAGAGAAAGTGACTAAGAAGATGTTGAAATCTTATAGCGGAAAAGTGCAGTAGTTTAATTCTCATTTTCTTATGAAAATGTTACTGTATTTTTTTATATGCAATAATATGACAAGCCACATTGTTTTTGTAAAAATTTTTTTTTAGATACCAGCTGTTTTTTTGTCACTGCTCTCCAACAGATTCAATGGAAACGAATTTAATAGCCTCAAAAAAAATTATTCAAGTTTAATTATGATAAACGTTAATTTTACACATTTTTCCAAAACTTAAAAGTCAAATAACTGCGAATTATGTTTTTGTGGCTTACCGCGTTATTACAATAAGCCATTCAATTGTAAATAAATACAATCATATCACGGAGATTTAAAGGTACCATCAGTACCAAGAATGTTTGCTATGATAGCGAAACTAGAGAAGTGAAACGATAAATCGATTAACTCATTATTTTCTGTCGATTGTAATCAGCCCCTTCTCAAAATATCTATATTCTGATTTTGAATTCATATGGATTTATTACAGCCTTCCAAGAGGATAACACCACTGTGTAGTGGGCACGAAAGGCCGGCAGTGCAATACTATCTAGTTTTTCTGTCTGAGAGTGGCTATAAGCTATAAGCGCTTTTTTCCCCTTTCAAGAAAAAAACGGGTGCTCTTGTCCCTCACCATCAACAAAGCTTCAGGTCCGGATTTGATTCCTGCCGTTGCACTGAATAGATGTACAAACAAAATCTTACTTAATTTTCGTGATTGAAGTACCTCGACACTTTGAAGGAGATAAAGTCACTTCGTGAAAAAGTTTTAAACAATAATACCTGTTTTTTTTTGGGTACCCCTCGTATATTATTTCTTGGTAGCGGCTTATTTTTCTTCCAAAACCAAATACTTCTATTTTAGTACTAGAATAACGCTGTTTATCTTATATCGAAGGACTTGATTCGTAGAGAATACTAATTTGTAATTCATATGTTCGTAAGTAACAAACAAATTGCTGATTCGGTATTTAAGTTGGGTGAATGAACAAAACGATTTGGGAAGCACGTCCGCGGAAGCACCCTGGGTCAAGCATGAATTGATTCATCATCGTGGCCTAGGAAATCCAAGAATACTACACTTCCGACGTTTGTCTTGATTCTAGCTGAATATGGTGGTCAGGGTCAACAAATTATATAAAACTGGAATAGTATTTCTAGTCCACATTTGACTTGAATATTCTTTGATGAACCTTAAGGTAGCTAACCACCCTACTTAGGCTGTCAAGATCGGTAAAGACGTCTGTTGTTTTTTACTATTATTTTTTGACTCGTACCGACAACTAGGAAAAATGTCTTATAAATCATCGCCCTCACTTTTTCCACCGTTTTATCAGTGTTCTCAATCTGACGATAGATTTATGTCATAATTCCTATTGTGCACCCTGAGGGTTTGGTATAGTACAGTTGTAGTAGGTTTTTGATATGGTAAAAATATTACAGAATTCGTTGATGCAAATTCGTATTGTACAACAATAATGATAACTACAATCTCCCCTAGGAGTTTTAAAAAGTATCGATTCAATACTTTTTATAGCAAGGATCTTCAGAGAATTTCGTAAAAGAGATTGGTCGGATAAAAATAATACAGACACCATAAACCATTTGATTGTGATGAGGCGTAGTGTTTGTGGTTCCAACGTTTTGGCATCAAGCTAGACGGAAGACTATGTCCGTAGACATTCCGTTTGCAGTTTTAGAAATCGAAAATGGACGCTGATTTATTAGCAGCTTCAGGAGGCACATTAATTATAAAAAAGAAAAAGCAAAAACGAAATCGAGCTAACTGGTCAAACGATTGGCATTTAATAAGGTTGGTGATCACTTATATCAGCCTGTTGAATAAATTAAGGTTGAAACTTGAATGAAGTAAAATACTTTGTATGGAGCGAAAAAAATTAAATTTCTCCAATGTTTTAGTAAATTGTTTAAGCAGTTTTTGAAAAAGATTTTGCAAAAACGATTCATAATATTTTCCCACCGGATGCAAAGGTATTTTCTGTACTATAAGAGTATACTTTTCAATTTTTGTCGATTCCATATTCTTCTGCTATTGATAAAATGTACAACTCATCTTTAGATATACATTATTCAAACAAGTCTGTGGTATAATATGTCGCAAAGTTTGAGTCTATATGGCACAAGTATACTTCAAGTCTTCATAACTTCTGTGTGTTCTTAAAATTGATTGCTTTTCTCATTATTGTATTCCATCTCTCCATTTATAGAGTAAAAATTCTAAGCAGTTCGCTGTAAGTTTTTTCACTCATCCGTAGGTAATTGAACCAATCTTCAGGTTCCACACTTAACTCATTCAAAAAGCTTATATGCGAGAGCTCTGACCTTATTAAAAGTCATGTCTTTGAGCACTTGGTACGATTTAAGTCGTTCAAGCAAATCGTACGTTTTGTTTGAGTGTATATGGGGTCTTTTAAGATCGCGTCTCTCAAACGGCCCCAACAAACAGAAAAATAAAACAAGTCCGTTTGGAAGCACACCTATAGGTACAAACCTGATAAACGTCGAAAGATAGATATAGATTATTTTATTAAGACGAATGTATAATTTGACAACAGGTAGTGTTTGTATTATCTCAACAAGTAATGAGCACCATTCTTTATATTGTTTAAGAGCCAGAAACTAAGAATTGAAGATAACCTCCTCACTCTGTACAAGTCCGAGATTAGACCTAGTCTCGGGTACTGCTCACATGTTTGTGGTGCTTCCGCCCCGAGTACATCATCCATGCTCGAAGCTTTCCTGAGGAGGGCTGTCCGACAGACCGATGACCCTTCTCTAAGCGACAGTCTCGGGACTCTTCTGTCAGACAGATCCGCATGATTTCGGCCTTCCATCCTAACCGTGTCGAACTTCGTACATCCAGAACTGGCCGATACGACCGCTCCTTTATCCCTAGGATGTCGAGATTGTAGAACAATCTACAAGAGGGGTTATTTCCCAGTTTTACTAACCATAGTCGGCTCATAAAACGTAATAACAAAGTTTCTTTAAGCTCCTCATAGCAGCCACGGTGCCCAAGTATTTAGTCTGCTACCTGCGCGGCTGCTTCCGTAAGCAAAACAAAGCTCTCTGTTAAAATAGATACATTACAACAGATATGGTCCGGTATATCCCTAATATTGGAAAATATACTTCTCATGCTACAATAATACTTATTGTCTACGAAGTAGGGTAATCTAAAACCTCTAATGATTTCCTGTTTAGAACCTTTTTTTGATGGAGAGAACATAATATCGCAGTTTGAGAAGTTTTGAATATTATTTTTTGGTTCATTCTCAGTATTTCTTGGTAGCGGCTTATTTTTCTTCCAAAACCAAATACTTCTATTTTAGTACTAGAATAACGCTGTTTATCTTATATCGAAGGACTTGATTCGTAGAGAATACTAATTTGTAATTCATATGTTCGTAAGTAACAAACAAATTGCTGATTCGGTATTTAAGTTGGGTGAATGAACAAAACGATTTGGGAAGCACGTCCGCGGAAGCACCCTGGGTCAAGCATGAATTGATTCATCATCGTGGCCTAGGAAATCCAAGAATACTACACTTCCGACGTTTGTCTTGATTCTAGCTGAATATGGTGGTCAGGGTCAACAAATTATATAAAACTGGAATAGTATTTCTAGTCCACATTTGACTTGAATATTCTTTGATGAACCTTAAGGTAGCTAACCACCCTACTTAGGCTGTCAAGATCGGTAAAGACGTCTGTTGTTTTTTACTATTATTTTTTGACTCGTACCGACAACTAGGAAAAATGTCTTATAAATCATCGCCCTCACTTTTTCCACCGTTTTATCAGTGTTCTCAATCTGACGATAGATTTATGTCATAATTCCTATTGTGCACCCTGAGGGTTTGGTATAGTACAGTTGTAGTAGGTTTTTGATATGGTAAAAATAT